GTTGTTGAGTTTAACTGCAACTGGCTCGGAACAGTAAGGACAATTGCCAAATAGGACATTAAATGACCTGCAAAACCAGCATTTATAACCATAAATCAAGCTACCATATAGGTAAGGAAACAGAGGAGAGAGTCCAAGGAAACAAGGGTAGATTATGAACAGGGAAAACCCATCAAGAACAGTTTCAACTGATTTTTTATACTAGTCAAACTTGAAAAAAGCTACAAAAACGAGCACGTTAATGTTTTGGTTTGAGTGGTGAGGCCAGGAACATACTTCAGTCTGTTTGGATACAATTACAAACAACAACTGGTGGGGTTAGGATACAAAATTGCCTGCCTACACTTTAGAAGTGGGGAAGAATAATAAAAGATGGCCAGCCTTAATTGTGCTGCTCAACCACTGGACCAAACTTGAACAATCCACATTAAAAATGAGGTCACAAGAGACGGTGACCACCACCAACTGAGAAGAAAACTATAGCACCTCCTCAATAACTATTATGGGATGATAAACCCTATCATTTAGTGGACAGCCCTTTGGATGCTTAACTCATTTTCCATTTAGTGATAGGTGAGCACACTGAGCACGCCTAAATCCTAAGGCATCCAAATAAAATCCTATGTATACTTTCCTTTCAGCGGCCACAATGATCCTACTTATCTCACAATTAGAAGTGCACAGTAGCACTTGAAACTAAAGAATATGGGGTCTGTGAATTGTATCATGGGTCCTGGTCCCCTATCAAGTTGCTTGCACAGCAGAGATGACAGAAGACCAGACATATGCCAGGACATTGTCAAGTATCCAGTACCAGGTAAACCAACTTGATGCTAAGATCGATCACTTGGGTGGATGGATGAAGCCAGAGGCAGAAGAGCAGGAAATGCCACAATCAAGTCACAATTGATGGGTCATTAGAACTAGTGACAAAAGAGAACTAATCCTGCATTAGGAAAAAAAAAAAAAAGATTTGAAGGTACTAAAAGCTCAACATACTGCCTAGTTGTTGTGATAGAATGCAACCAGTCCACAAGACACATGCTATGGAAAGCCCTACTGCAATTTGTATTCTCACACGTATAGTCAGTACCACTTCCACTTTTAGTTCCAAGTTCATCATCTACATCAGCATTTCAAAGTTAGAGGTTGATATTGATCAATGAAATGTAAGTGCAGAAAGATCTAAAAGACATACATAATTACCTATGGGAAGACAATGGGCATAGCAGATTCCACATTCTACCTGTCGATCATCCCTCAAGAAATCTCGGGACCTTGGAAGTTGGGTCTCCAATATAGATGCAAGATTTTCTTGAAACGTTTTATCCCTCAGCCTATGCAATCAATAATATTACGTAGAATATAAACACAGATAGCCAATTAACTACAGTCCCATCAAGCAAAACCTCCATGGAAAAATAAAGGGATAAGGGCCACCAGTCTAAAAACTTTGCACAAAAGGAAGCAGGTCAACTACTACAGCCCAAAGAAAGAGAAAAAAAATAGTGTCATGTTTTGTCAACATAAAATAGCTTCAAAAGCCAACTTCCAAGGTCCATAAATCTATTCTTTTCCTAACTTGATTATCTTGCATTGCTTCCCTCTTAGCCAGATATTCATTAAAAAGAAATGGGATTAAATATAATTGCATATAAAAAAAGATTATCTGTGAATTACTTCTCTCTGTCAACATATTCATACTGAAAGCATGAATATTCCATAATGCTTCAGAAAATCTAATAAGGGATTTAAGGGTGTACCATCTCTTGCTATTTCTCTTCCATATCTTTCTCAATGTGTTCACAATTGTACCTGAACCCATAAAACGACACCTACTGCAATTTAGGAACTTAATACCCATTTTTTGATTGGCAAAAATTTGGCACTGTATTAAAATAAAATAAAATAAAATAACCCTTAGAATCTGCATCATGGCAAAATTTTGCATAAAACCTTACTCTGGTAAAGATTTGGGATTATTGACATTTATTGACAGCATGATAACACAACCATTTCCTGCAGAGGAAACAAATAATCACAAAAGGCTGTAATGATAATAGAGAGGGAAAAAAAGAAATAGGTAAGACAAATCCAAAATCTTGAGATATTTTTACTTATATCTGATGAAAAACTAATGGTAGACCTATCTGAATCTGGCGAAAAGACATAGCACGAGTTGGTGACTTTGGATCAACAACCCAAAAAGACCTGTCAATCTCATCCAAAGTAGACCAGAATTCCTGAAGCTTCTCCAGATGCTGGGCAGAAAAAAAGGTAACTTATGAGTACTATGAACTGAAAATAGACCATGGCCCAAAGAAGCAACTGAAAGAGGAAATGAGAATCACTGTTCTTAGGAAAGCTTGCAACTAACTACCTCCTGAAACTGTTTCACCAAGTCTTTCAATCTTGAGTTCATTGACCACTCTAAATTGAACATATATGGTACATCCTGAAGAACAGAAGTATCAAAAGAAATTTAGCTAGCATTGGAAGAGTCAGGCTCAAAACCAGAGTGATAGAAGACCAACCGCTGAAGCCATGGGTGGATCTTTAGGATAGGTTTTATCCAACTGAATTTCCAACACATGAACTCTTCCCTTCTCATCCCTGGAACTCAAACATGCAAAAGAATCAGCCTCTATAAAAGTAATACAGAGCGGAAAAGTGAAAATGGGAAAAAGGAGAATATATATAGTCTATCCATGGATAAGAAAAGATAATAGAGTACAGTAATACAGACCACATTCCATTCCAGCAACTTCAATTATAACCATGACAGTTTTTTCCCTCATTAGCTCCAAAAAATTGTTATCAAGATCAGAGAGTATTCGAAATAAACTTACAAGTCGTGGTATATTGTTCTGCCATTTAATGTGAATGCTGGGAGGGTGTTATAGTGCATGTGCTTTCAGTTTAAGGTTTAATTACAAAACTTACAGGTATCATTAGCAGCAAAGCTTCAAAGCAACAAAAGTCCAAAGTGACCAAGACAATTGATTAGTCACTGGTTTTTAAAAGAATGAAAGAAAAGGGAGGGGGGGGGACAATGTGCAAAGTTGTATGACTAACCCTGCAATTGCATCTAATACTTGTTCATAAAATCCATTCTTAATTACTCAGCAGTCACCAGTTTTCACTGCCAGTGGAACAAAGTTGGCTTCACTTAATTAGGAATAGAGCATCCATTAACCAGGAATTCACACAATTGTAGAAGGACTTTGCTTTTAAGGATTAATTATTTCCTTGGAGATAAGGAGATTACAATCTCACATTTGAGCATTTAGATTATGCAATCAAGTTATTAGCATACCTCACAATAAAAACCATACATGGACCACAGTCTGAAAGCAAGGTGAAAAGTAAATGCAATCAGAATGCAGCACTTACAAAACATGAAAACTAAGAAATGTTAAATCTCCACCCAATCTCACAAGACGCTCCCATCCAACCTCTTCTATCTGCATTGATGAAACAATATCAAGCTACTGATCCTAGGAACAATATACTTTCTATCAATGATTAGCCCACGTGCTTGTCAACCAGAAATTACAAATAATAGTTATCATGCAAGAAAGCAACAATGTCAGTGATTGTCAACTAACAGTTAACATAATTACGAAAACCATCATAAGCTTCAGCTTCCCTACCTGAATGCCAGTTAATATCAGATAAATACAACAAGCTTCACAATGTGAATAACAAAAGAAGAAGCGTAATAAGGAGGTATCCCATAATATAAAGTAGGTCCTTCACTTTGGCTGATAGATATCAGATTCAATAGCAATAGTAGCTCCTCATAATTCAGAAAAATAAGTTCTTGATTATTCTAGGCAATCTCCAATATATGATATAAACTACTAGATTTTTCTGGACAAATAAATATTTCATTACTATCTGATAACATGACAGAGCAAATAAAAAATTATCCAATTAAATATTTAGAATATGGATTAGATTAACAAGAACACCGATAGAAATGGCAGTTAAACTGACCTCTGAGTAAATTGTGCGGCAAAATGAGGATGATTTGGCCAATTCTAGGCATCTAATCTGCTCGCCACAGTCCTGAATGTATAAGGATAAATCAGTTGAAAGCATATATTAAACAGATTGCGAATCCTACCAATATTTTAAGCTCCATTGACATCTTCAGTGTTTAGCAACAAATTACAAACATGACATCTAAAAAAGGAAAAGTAGCAAAAAAAACTGGTAATGCTATTGAATTCGATTCTGATTTTCAACGAACACATAGGGGATTCAGTTTTGCACAAGTTCTAGACTTGGAATTGGCTCACAGTCACTAAATACCAAACAATACAGTTAGAAAATTACCATCGGATGTTTCCCCCAGGGAAGTAAAAGAAGAAAAGGAAAGAAGGCGCTTCGTTTTCGCTTCCTCGAGCGCCGTCGTGTGAGTAGCAGGCGGTCGCCGACTCGCCGGTGACAATGTCCTTTTCCGATCTCTCTTTTTTAGTTAATAAACATTTTTGTGCTTTTCTTTTCTTTTCTTTTCTTCTCTTTTTTTTAAATATGAGGGCTGGGTTGCGTTCTCTGTTGGGTTTCCGCAGTCCGCATGTTTTAACAAAATAATATTTTCAGACCGCGGCACAGTCATCTGTCCACGATCAGTTAGGGCTACTCTACCTTGTTTAAGTCAAACAGGTATTTGGGCTGAAATGTTGCCCCCAATAAAGAGTTGTGCCTTCAGGCTTCCATGGTGTAATTTCCATGTGGTTTATTTTCCTCACGGCAATAATTTAGTTACAATATTTTGTCAAACAAGTCGTATATGTGCTATGGAATCAAATAAGTGGATATGTAGATATATCTAATTCGCGTATCCCATTAATTAAGTCAAAATAATTAATCACTCAACTTTTTATATAATGTTAAATTACATTGATTTATTTAACGTTATGTTACATTGTACAAGTCATTAGAAGAAAATCGTCAAACTCAATCATTTTTCTTCCTCTTATGTGTCTTCTTGAACGAAAATTCAGTAGCTCAAACAAAATGTCAATTCTTGGACCAAAACCATTCAAGGTGCATGTGCTGTGCAGAACATACAAACAGTAGGAAATGGAGAAATAATATCAAGAAATATAAGGTTGGCCAAAAAATGAGGAAGAAAATAAGGATGTTGCATCCCACTGACATGATATTGATGTCACACCCAAATTCTGCAATAATCTCTGCCCTAATCAAGCTTTGACTAGCTTAATCCATCATGTGGAAATGCTAATAAAACAAACGTGAAAAAGGTGCAAAGATTACGAGGGCCCATTAAAGATAATTCGATAATGGAATTGGGACCCATCTAATCGAACTATCTACAAAGACTAGGTAACTATAATAGGTCTTGGTCTAACGTTTGACAAACGGCCACATCATGTCATAAGTTGTGTTTTGTTTGAGGGATTTATTCATAAGGGAGGACTTTGTTGATGAAAGATAATAAATGAGACCGTTTAGTTTGATTTGTTGTGTGTCTGTTCCGGTCTTGGTAAGCTAAGTACTGCGCCATCGCGATTTTTTCTCATTTAATTAGGTTGTTTGTGTTTAGGATGCCGTTGGACTAAAGATGTTATGTTAAATCCCATCTAACGTGGGTTTGGATTGAGTCATGTGCACATGGGTTCACCTTCGTTGAACCTGAACTTTCGGGGTTGGCCCCATATTTGTGACTTCGTTCAGAATGTTCACATGTAGTGCTTCCTTCGCAATTTTGTATGGTTTGCCCCGAGGCGGAACCAAAATCAATTAACAAGAAGTGCAAGGTTCACTAAAACCAATTAACACTAGGAGAAATGGTTTTTAGTAGTAGAAATTCGTGATAAATTTTAAATTTATTATTATAACTTATTATAATTATGACAAATTTAAAAAATTAATCATAGATGCATATATATTTAATAATGAAAAAAAAATTTATCATAAAAAATATAGTTCGTCACTAAAAAATGTTTATAGAAATAAAATAAGTTTTTGTCGATAAAAATCATTACTGTAATACATTACAATTATAATAAAATTCTAATATTGGTCACATATACCTTATATGTCAATGATGACCCAATAATTCATCATTAAAAATATATTTCTTCACTAAAAATTGTCAGTTTTTTCTAATTAATGCATCTCACATCGATAAAAAATACATAA